GTTGTGAGTGAGCGATTTGGCTCCTGCATAAATTAGTTTGCTCTGGAGCCCTCCTTCCTGAGCCAAGTCAAAAATCCATGAGCCGGAGGCTAAAAAGCTGTGAGCTAGCTCACACTAGCTCAGCTTAGAGGGAACACTGATCCGTGGGTGTCTCTGTCTACGTACAGAATTTCCTTAGCAAGGTCTTCAAATTCCAGAGTTTTCCCTATGAAAGTTTGCCTCGGTGAGGCTCAACCTTGTGCTTGAAGCAGTTGTACGAGAACAGTTTTAAGAAGCATAGTTTGAAAACCAGTTTGTTTGGGTTATTTCTATTAAATTAGAAAAGGGGGGAAAACATTGCGGTGGTGGTGGCGGTGGCGGGGTTCCTACTGCCAGGCAGCACCATTCGTAAGAACATAAGAGAAGCCATGTTGGATCAGGCCAGTGACCCATCCAGTCCAACACTCTGTGCCACACAGTGGCCAAAACCCAGGTGCCGTCAGGAGGTCCACCAGCAGGGACAGAGGAGGGATTTCTGCAGTGCCTCTAGTGGGGAAATCCAGCTATAGACCCTCCTCTGAACACCATGTTTAAGCCAATAGAAGAAGAGAGCCTACAGCCAAGTTGCAGCTTTGTGGCTTCTCTTAATTGTTTGAATAGCAACCAGAGAGCAGAGAGAGTATTGGCTTAGGCAGCGTTCCCAAACCCACTGTCGTGTCAGTCGCTCGACTTGAGTAAAGCCAGTAGTGTCATTTTGGTGTGGGGTTGCAGTGATTTTGGAGAGGCGAAGACGTCCGTGGCAGACTCACGCTGCTGCGGTTTTTATTTCGTTTGTAAGAAAAACCGCAAAGTGTTTGTGTACCTGTTAAAACATCTCTGGTAAATCTACAAGAGTCGTCCTAGCTGACCTGTCCTGTGATAGTCACCTGTAGCATATTGGGAAACTGAAGGAGAACAGGATTCTCAAAGAACCAGCTCTGGTTCGGTTTTCGAAAGCCTGGTCTCCCGGCAGTAATCCTTAACTTGTTCCAGGTGAGGCACTGAGCGACTGTGGACAAGACCAAAAAAGGAGAAGTTCAGAAATGAAAACATGGCCCTGCAGACGTCTCAAAAAAGAGACGCTCGCAACCTCCCTAGACTCCCTATCTCGTTGCCAAATTGCTTATGGATTGGGGGATTTCGAGAAAATGAAAAAGAAAGAACCAGACTCTATTCTAATTCAATTTAGGCTTTTCTGGAGCATCAACATCATTGTGGGAGACGGGTGTCTGTCGTATTATGAATAATGGGTATTATAAAGGCATTTTATGAACAGTTAGAAATTTAAGATTAAAGAGATCCTTACGGATCCCCCCCCCTTTTCCTTTCTTTTCCTTAGCATCTTTTGGGCACTCAGCCACAGCCTTCCGTTCAACTCTGGGTGTCCTTTAACCGCAAGCCGATGCAAGCTGCCCAGTTTGTGACCAGGCATCCCATCAAGGTATTTTGCAAAATGCACGTATGTTTATCAGCCCAGTCCGAAGCAGTACATCCTTCCCAGCCCAGCGACTTCAACGGAGTTAGAAGGGTCCGTTGAAGTCACTTAGAAGGATGTAACTCAGGGATCCCCAATCTTTTTGAGCCTGTGGGCACCCTTGGAATTCTGACCCAGCACGGTGGGCGCAGGCCCAAGATGGCGGCTTCAGGAGGCGGAGCCAGCCACAAAATGGCTGCTGCAGCTTACCATCAGTCACACATGACACCCTTGTGTCATGGTGGCAGCGGCTGCACAAACAATTAAATCTCCAGTGGCCAGTCAGAAGCCTTGCTGGGCAAAAGCCTTACCTGGCCCAAACCCGCCTTCTAAAACACCTAGGAAAGGTGTTGGAGGATACCATGGTGCCCATGGGAGCCGTGTTGGGGACCCAGATGTAACTGCTTAGACTTGCACTGCAAGTCTCCTTTAAAGAGGCTGGGGGAGGCTTGTGGAATCTGTTTTTAAAAACTTTGTTGGCCAAGACTCCACTTTTTTTTTTTTAGGGCTGCTGCCCTAAAATCAGAGTGGAACAAATGAGAGCAGAACTGATTAATTTATCGGCTGTACATGCATTTGCATAAAAGGAAACCGGAATTATGAAGCAAAGAAGGCTGCTCTTTTTTAGGTCGTGCCGTGACTGCCCTCTTAGAAGAAGCATTCCCGGCTATCTGACAGAGAGGAGGGGATGCCTCTTCTTAAGGTCGCACCTGTAGCCTACAATTTATGGAAATATTTGTATAATTTACATTTTTTAAAAAAGAAAATCTGCTTTATCATTTAAAATATTCTATGCCGCCTTTCCACCAAAGAGCCAGAGCATTAAAAAACCAACAGAACGGCTCAAATAAAGCTGAAATCTAAATAAAAATGCACCCCCCCCCGGACGTGCTAAACTTAATGATTTCAAACAACAGCAACAGTAAAAAAAAAGTAAACTTAATAAGCCAGACAGTATCTGTTAAGAATCTTGATACAGCTAAGGCAGGGAAACTAGGAGGAGAGAAACCAAATTACAGACCAGTAAAACACCAGCCACTGGATGATGCCTGTAATGAGTTCATGTCTTGGTGTGTGTGTGTTTCTTTAAATGTTTAGTTTGACTGCAGTACTGTAAGGAGTGTGATGTGATTGGCTGATGACTGAGGGTGTGGGAGGATGGGTGTGTATGAGAGTGACTCTGTGTGTGAAGTTTGAAGAGAGAGTATAGTCTTTGAGTCTATTCTGTGTGAATAAGACAAAGAGTTCAGCCTGTATGGCTATATGGATGAGAGAGAGATTAATGTCTATGCCTGTCAGAGTGGAGTTTTGGGAGTTTGAGAGACTGTTTGTGACACCAAGCTTTACCAGTTATATTTACAAGTTCCTTTCATCAGCAACAGTTCAAAATAACCAGAAACCTATTTTGTTCTTTATTAAATAAATCATTTTTTTGTGTAAACTTATCCCAGAAATCAGAATAGTCCTTCCTCAGGGCCTCATAGTCCTCTGAAGTGCCCAGACCCTGGGTCATTCTACCAAAAGAGAGAGAATTGGAATGTTTAATTCCTGGTGGCAGCAGAAATCTACCAAGTTTAGGTACACAGAGGCCCCGGTCACAAGGGAGCTTTTGCCCCGCAAGAGGGACAGATCGGGGGCGCAGCAAACGGGCGCGATCACACCGCAACATCTGGGAAGCGATCCGTCCCTTCAGCCCAAAAACGCGCATCAAAAAAACCTTAAGAAAGAGTACTACCACCCTGAAACGCCGCAGCAAGCGTGGCCAAGGGGTCGCCGGCGCGCCCATCTTCAGCAGCATTCGAGGCTCCCGGCCGAACTGCGCATGCGCACACATGCGCAGCCGGCTGCCTCACTCTCCCTTCCATGGCTTCCGCCCCCCCGGCATCTGATCGTGCCGGGGAGCAACTGCGCGGCGGCTCAGGGGATCTATCTGATCCCTCCGCTGCGCGTCTCTTTTGGTGCGGCTCTAAAAGCTGCACTTTGGCCGTGCCAATTTCCCCCGTGTGACCGGGGCCAGAGAGTGTTTTAAAGGTAAAACTGTTTCCCCCAGTAAGCAAGGACGACACAATGCCATTCACAGAGAGAGGGGAAGAGGCTTTCCAAAGCCAGGAAGAGCTATATTTGAGACTAGCAACACCTTAGAGACCAACACAGTTTTCATGGTATAAGCTTTGAAGAGTCAAAGCTCTTTTTGTCAGACACTAAAGGGAGCTTTGAGTCTCGAAAACTCATACTCTGAAAGTCTAATTGGTCTCTAAGAAGCTACTGGACTCGAACATGGCTCCCCCTGAAACAAAGCCAGGAAGTGGTTTCTGTCCTTTATCACCTCAGAAGGTGGTGGACTCACACAAAAGGCCTTGTGATGGCGTTTCAAACACCTTTGTAGATTGTCTGTATAGCTAGTGAAAGGTTGTTGCCCACTTTTTATGGAACGTTATCGAGGGAGCGGTACTAAGCAAGTCCACTCAGAGAGAAGTCCCATTTTATCCCCCTCACTGAAATAAAAAGCAGGAATCTCATAGTGCATCAGTTAACACTACACACATTTGTATTTCGTTTTTGGTAAGTGGCAATACAGAGCTACGGTGGCGCAGAGGTTAAGACGCTGAGCTGCAGACCAGAAGGTCAGTAGCTCGGCAGTTCGAGACCCGAGTGCCACATGACGGAGTGAGCTCCCGTCTCTGGTCCCAGCTCCTGCCAGCCTAGCAGGTCGAAAGCAAGAAATTGCAAGTAGATAAATAGGTACCGCTTTGGTGGGAAGGTAACAGCGTTCTGTGCGCCTTGGCGTTTAGTCGTGCCGGCCACATGACCACGGAAACGTCTTCGGACAGCGCTGGCTCTTCGGCTTGGAAATGGAGATGAGCACCGCCCCCTAGAGTCGGATTCGACTGGCTTTCGAGCAAGGGAAACCTTTACCTTTTTTTAAAATCCAGAGCATTACTTAGGAGCAGATGGTGTTATCTCATGGCCGTTTCATGTCTCATACGGGTGCAAACCTAAACTGGTCACCACACCTCCCCCAGCTGCCTCTCCCCATACTTCTTGTGATGTACTTTTTCAGTGGGGAAGGGAAATCCTGGCCCCCTCTCCCCCCCCCCACTCGCCCTCCCTGGCTCTGCCTTCCTTGCATCCCATCTTCATATCCTCCTCCTCCTCGTGGTACCAGTAGCTGAAACGACTGTTTCAGTGCTGTGGCAACTCAAAATGCCACCTCGACTTCTTAAAGTTTGCTCTGCTGTTTTGGTGTAGCATACTTGAGCGTCTGCAATTGGTTTTTTCCCTTTAAAAATGCCCCCCCCCCGATTCACACACACAGTTAATCTATTGAAAACAACAGCTGTTTGTGAAATAACACATGCAACTTAAATACTGTGGGCGCAGGGCTCTTTTTGTAGCAGGGACTCCTTTGCATATTAGGCGACACCCCCCCTAATGTAGCCAATCCTCCAAGAGATTACAGTAGCCCCTGTAAGAAGAGCTCTGTCTGTAAGCGCTTGGAGGATTGGCTACATTAGGGGTGTGTCGCCTGATATGCAAAGGAGTTCCTGCTACAAAAAGAGCCCTGCATGGGGGGGGGAGGGTTTGAGTGGTCATTGCCATTCACCTGCAAGGCAGGAGGCTCCGCATTGCTGGTTGGGGGCGCAGCTGAAAGAATAACGACTCCCCGAAGGAATGCTCCTCCTGCATCGGTTGCAGAAGTGAGATTCGAATCAGGGTCTCCCTGGTTATGCTGTGATCCGATAACGCCAGGGGTCATTTCCTGCAGGAGCGCACAGGAGCGGAGCTCTGGCAGTAAGGAGTCCAGGGGGTGGGCACATGCAACAAGTCCCGCCCCCTGCTCCCAGCAGCCCTCAGTCAGGCCACAAGGAGCAAGAAGCAGCCAAGTGTTGCAGAGCCCCCCCC